GTGAAGATGGGATGCCGTTACTGGGGGTTCGTGGGGATGAAGCAAAGGGCTGCTGATGGGTGCATAAGCTGGGCTAGGGCTCACCATCTTTTCTCCTGGAGACCTGGGAGGTCCCATCCTCTCTGTCATGGTCTTGGGGTCGTCCTGGTCTGTCCTACAGTGCTACCAGGACATGGAGCAGCCAGCCTGGCTCCTGGTGTCCAAATTTGCGAGCCCTGCAACACCAGAAGTCTGGCAGGTGCCGTCGGGGTGGGAGAGGCTCATCCGGGCAGCCGGAGAGTGGCCACGATCTCAGGACTGGGGCAGCTGCCCTGAGCTCAGCTATATTACTCTTTCTTACCTAATAAGTTAAAGTTGTATTTCTTCCAATCATGCTCCCTGGGACAGGCACAGGTAGTTTATTTAATCATTTATTCTTTTCTTTTTCTTTTTTTTTTTCTTTTTTTTTTTTACCATTAAATTATCGTCCACTGTTGTTAGCACACTAACCGACCCCGAGAGTGCCAAGCATGAGGGAGAACATTTTTCTGGGATCCTTTTTAAACTTTTGCAGCCAGAACAGGCTGAGCTGCCACTAATCACACGAGCTGCCAGTGTCGTGATCCGCACACGTCTCCATCGGTGCTGGAGGCTGTTCCAGGAGAGCTTTGCCACCAGTCCCCCCAGTTGTCCCATCCCAGGGGCTTGGGGGAATCAATTATGCAGCATCTTCCTCCACCTGGCAAATTTCTACCCAAACTCAGAGACCTGTGCGATCACTCCACCACTAGCCCCTTCTCCTGAGATGTTTTATCCGCATAATTCATCGTATCCTCATTCCAGTCATTGGTTTAAACATGCCTTCATCCTTTGCTTTAGAAAAGGGAGCATGCTTCTGTGATCTCTCCTCCAGACAACTAAATGTCCCTGGTTTTGGGCTGGAGCTTGTCCTGCTCTTGGCCCCTTACACCTCCTGAGACTTTAATTTTGGTGTATGCTGTGTTCTCTTTTTTTTCACTTTTGAAAGAAAATGTTTTCATGTCCTAGCAGCAAAAGAGCCAGAGGCATGCATGCGGCTTTGCAGGGCAGTGGGAGCAGTAGTGGAGAGGTCTCACCCTGACTTGAAGTCCGTTCTCCCTTCCATCCCATCTCCTGACTCCTCTTCCCATCCCGTTAGAGCAGCAGGATCCTCCTGGCGTGTTTGTTCAGCCCTTGAGATCCCAGCATAGCTCTTGCAGGCCAGCGTCAGGGTGGGGGGTGCCGAGATGCCTGGGAGAGACCTCCTCTGCCCTGCCTCGAGCAACCCGTCCTTCATCCTTCTTTCTGCCAGGACGAGAAGGAGCAGCTCATTCAGTCGAAGAGCTCCGTCGCCAGCCTGGTGGGACGCTCCAAAACCATCGTTCAGCTCCGGCCCAGGAACCCAGAGCACCTTGTGAAGAGCACGATCCCCATCAAGGCTGTTTGTGACTATCGGCAGATCGAGGTGAGGGCTGGAAGGGTGTCAGCGTGACTTTGAAAGGGAAGGCAGGGATGAGGCAGGAGAGCAACGCCCATGGTGGTTTAGGATGAGCTCTGTGGTGTCTGTCAATGGAAAGCAGGA